CTACCATTTTCACGCCAATATCCCTACTTCACACAATTTGCACAACTCTTTGTCCATCTCTCTGCATGTCGGGACATTTGGTATCACCTGACGAGTCACTTGGAGCGTCCTGTTCAAGGTGTGTGTTGGGAAAGGCATCAGCCAAGACGTACAGACCACACATATCAAATGCTAGCTCCGCCCACAGGGGCTTTGACAGTTGCTCAACAATCTACACCAGCGTATCAACAGCTGTAGTTCCACCAGTTCCAGGGAAGTTTATAGGAAATTGAGCCCGTGCACCGGAACACTACAATATCCGTTCATCCGCCAGATAGCAAGTTTAGTGAAAAGTGAAAGCCGGAAAGCGGAAACCGAAACAACGAAAAGTCTCCGGGAAACAAAGGAACAGGATCTGCCCGCATGAGGGGCTGCTCGTAGGTCTCATATCATATGAAATAGGGCCGAGTGCTGACTATCTGTGGCGAGTTTTCTCCAGCCCCCACCCTCCACCCCCTTCCCTCCCAAGGAGAGGTCCTTTTTCTGCTGGACGCTGGAATGATGGGTGGGTGGGGGCGGAGGGGGGGGGGAGGGAGAAGATGTGGTATTTGCCTTTGAAAGATGTCTTGGTTGTTGAGTTTTTTTTGGTTTCTATTGCTTCACGTGCGCTAAACAGCCCCTATCCGCCCACTCGACGGCAGTTCTTTGGGTAAAATCGTATCAAAGGAGCAATTTTTGTGCAGGAGGAGGCGCATTTCGCGAAAAGTTTCAGAATTTTGCCCAGTCACGGCACGTGTTTGATCCTTGATGAAACAACTTTTCACTTTACTCTTCAGTTTTCATATTTTCCTTGGGTTTCAGTTTAATAATAAGACCTCTCACATTTGAAATTCTTAGCATCCTTCGGACTGCAGACTGCACCATTTTGTGGGTATTTCTTTCAGGTCGTTGGCGACCGGAATTTTACGAAGCAGAGGACTGTCACATAGTACATTTCTTTAGTGGAAAGCAAACATTGCTAGTGACTGAGTGACGTGTGTCACTATGTAGGTGAGCCTAAGGGTGATGTGCTGCGCTTATGCACGCTTGACATCTCTCCTCTTGGTGAATAAGGACCCCTATTGTCGTGTGAGCCCTTGATCCGAAATCTGTGTGGTTCCGGGCTAGAGAAGGGACCTTGGAAGAGGAGCCCTGTGATCCAGAAGAGGATTGTGTGGAATGAGTGGTGCTGAAGCTAGATTTCTGGAACTCAAATAGGTCACTTTAGTAAGTAGTAGTTATTTTGGTCCGCCAGTTGCTAACAGGCCATTTCTGTCGAATAGCAGGCTTTTGTTCGCTGTTTACTATCGCTCAAGCTTGATTGCGATCTTTTACTCCCAAAAACGGTGGATTTTGGGCTGCGAGACGACCGATTTTAGGTAGGAAACGTTTCCGGCAGCTGCACAAAAGCCGATCTGTCAATCGTTGAAAGGAACCCAAAAATATCACTCGGAATAGTTCATTTTAGCAATTCAAACATGGCGAATTTTGAATCTAAAGATCTGATTGAGATTCTCACTTCTCCAGGCTCCGTTCGAGATCGAAGGTGGGAATGTGGTGGTGACATGTGGCTGCACAACCTCCCCCAAAGGCTGCCCACAGATATAGAGGGGAAAAAATGCAGGAAAAGGTAAAACAGAGGAGGAAAATGGGCGCAGTTCGGCTTTAAAAGAGGCATTTTGCTGGTTCCCATCGAACACTGCAGATGCCTCCTGTGGAATCCTGTGAATTCCTGTTAAGCTATGCAGTAGCATGAGCTTCGTTGACACTTGACAAGAGTTTAGACAAGATTCTACAGGTTTCACCAAGGTGCGACTGCGACGCGTAATTCGATAGGAAGTAGCAAAGGAATCTAGGAAGATGAAGTGCAAAGTTTTCCTTACCATCCCCCACCCCACCCCCTCAAGCCCAGCAGCTCCAAAAAATCAGTTTTCTTCGAGTTCTGTGTCAGTTTCCGCCCACGCCAACCTTCTCCATGGGATTCAAGTATTAGTACCAGACTCATCCGGTTTGATAAATAACAGCGGCTTTCATATAGCCTTCCGGAAGTCATAAATGGGTGACATGTGCTTCCCAACCTTACGATTCCAAGTTGAGGTCGACCTATGGCGTATCCTTACTACTGTTTAATCCCACGTAGTCTGTACCCAGAGTGGGAGGTGGTGTTGTGGCCTTCGGGGAACAAATCCCGGGATCGACTCCCGCCCAGGCCAACCAAGCCTTCTACCCTCCGGGGACGGTAAATTGGTACCAGATTCGTCTGGGAGGATAAAACACTGACTTGTACATCGGCTGGCCCCGCAAGTCATTGTATAGGCCACATCGCATTCAATAAGCCACTACGATTCTGAATGGAAGTAGAATGCGTGCCGCATCCCACAAAGGGATTGATCAACGGCGAAGACTTTATCTTTTATCCCTTAATTGTACCTTCGATTACAATGCCTAGTGAGTTTCTGCTCATTTCGATGGAGACGTAAGTAGCTATTCCAATCTTTTCATGTACAATAGATCCGAATCGATTTTTATTTTTAAAACACCTCTTACTATACACATTTACCACTTGGGAAACATAATCAACTTTATTATGCAACATGGCGAGTTGGTTTCAATGCGAATCGTCTTCTATCGCGATCGATGTTTGATTGTTAGGAAAGAGGCTTTTAGTGATTTCTCAGCTGTTTTTTTTGTTCGATCGGCAAAGAAAAAAAAACATAGAAGTTGAAAGAAGACATTTATGCGGCAGTGAGTTCGTCTTGAGCTCCGGTAGTGATGAGATGAGCGAATGCCTTGTAGTCGACTTCACCGTTCTCGATTGGTGGCTTACCCTGGAAGATTGATCCTTAGGTATATTCCTATGAGTGAGGACTGAAAGCCGCTGGAAGAAACCCAAGAGGGTCCAGAAATCGCTGAAAATTCACCTTGTACATGGCCTTGATCTCATCATCGTCCAGAGGCTCTCCTCGCTTGTTTTGAAGAATTTTTAACAATTCTTCTTCCTTCAGCTTTCCACAGTCTTTCTTATCGAACATATTGAAAGCGCCAACGATCGTCGATTCGGGGTCAGTTCCTGAGTTCACCAAGTTTAACCTTCCTGAGTCAACACAAGCACAAGTCTGAGCTCTCACCTGTCAATCGCTCTCCGAATAAGGTAAGGAAGACAGTGAAGTTGATTGGTCCTGGAGCCTCTTTGATCATGGCCTCGATTTGTGAGTCAGATGCAATCTGTCCCATAACGGCGTAGAGATCCTTGAGATCACCCTAAACTTACTTGTTTAGGTATTTTCCTAGTAAATGTAAGTGGTAAACATGGAAATATCCCACCTTGTCGATGATACCATCCTTGTTCTGATCCATGATACCGAAGGCCTCTTTGAATTCATTGATGGTTTTCTGATCGAACTGGGCGGCCTCAGATCCGGATCTCTTCTTGCTCGACTTCTTCTTGGCGGCCTTCGACTGAAAAGTAGCTCTTATGGGTTACCCCTAAACTGACTATAAAATGAGAGAATGGGAAAGCGCTTACCATTATGGATAGTTTGGTTCGCTACCAAGTAAGATACCTGAAAGTGAATAACTCATACTAATAGTTATATCAAAAGTTATTGTAGAAGTAATGCGGTACTAGGGCGAAGGCACGAGATTCACATGAAGATATGCGAAGCCAATGAAAGTCTGTGAATAACGAACGGCTATTTCTACTGTGAAACGCCTCCAAGCTGAGGGATTTGTGAAGTAATCAATGTGGATGATCTGAATGTTTGTAGCCGAACTGAACGATAGCTAGAGAGCATGAGCTCAACGATGAGGGTGGCCTAGCGGGCGAGCGAGCGCGTACGCTGTAACACCCTCCAATTTTTGCCCCCGCTGAGATAACCGGAATCCGCAAATATACGAATTGCGGCACAGCGTGGAAATGACGACAGTAACGAAAGAAAAACGGAAGCGAGTAACAGAATGTGTGCTGGTTGATTCGTTGAGCACTTACTCCTTTACTCGAGTACGATTTTTAGGCCCCTTTACACCACGAAAAACGAGACCACACATTGTGATAACTCATCCAGCATTACAACATCTATCAAAGAAAGACTTCATGAAAAAACGTAGGCGCGAACGTTGTTGAGCTCGTCCTTATCCAAGAAAACTTTGCTACTACAGGACGGGAATTCCACAGCTCAGAAGCCGGAAGTGCAGTCATTAGCTCAATAGTACTTCTCGTTGGAAAGTGGTTCCGCGCACTTCTAAGAACACATACACAGAAAGAGGACAAATCCTCATTGTTCAGAGAAAGTCTTTGCCTCCATCAGTACTCTACCAGCCTACCCTTACTGGTAACGAGAGAGAGAAGAGCATGACCAGGTAAAAACCACAAATTTCTTATTCCGAAAACTCATCAGAGTGATTTCAAATTTCTGGTCTCTCTGCCTTGATTTCACGTAGAGTCTATTCTGTACAGGAGTCCTCGCACGTTTCATTGATGATACCTCTGTTTCCTTCGAAAATGTCTAGAGCAGGGCTTATTCTCACAACTGAGTTATAATTTACTGGTCAGGTTGAGTTATTGCTCAATACCGAAGTGTTGCGGACGGAGCGAAGCTCTTACAAGTACAGGACCCAAAACTTCAGATGCTCGTCTAGAAAAGTGTGCTATCTTGGAGCCTGGCGTTTTTGAGTGAACTCTCAGAGAAGGCAGAAGTACGCAGAGCCGAAAGGATGTGTCAAATTTCTTACACCGAAGTAAATAATTGATAACCGTCTTTTGACTGCTGCATTTAGCTTATTCTTCGGCGTTTGTCCCGCAAGGTGGTCTAGCGCTTTCTGAGGTACCTAACCTATAACTGGCATTGCCTACAAGAGATTAAGAGATTGCCGGAGCTAGCGCTGCCGCTTATTCTACTTTGCCTATTGTGTGGCCTGTGTGAAAAAGGAACAGAATCTTAGAAATGGCACAAAAAGGATATCCAGATAGCTGATATCACTTCTCCATGGCCTAATGGATAGCAGACGTGTTCGGAAAGCACAAGGCCCGGGTTCGGATCCTAAGTGAGGATAAGTGTTCTGTCCATAATTTGGCGTTCCTCTTTAGATGAACATGAGAAGGGGCCCCTTTGCTGAGATTCTTATGAACCGCTCACTGAGCAGTAGTAAATTTCAGGATTCAGGACAAATCATCAGTTCAGGAGGAAAATAAATCCAGCCAGAAGAATGGATATACTATAAAAGTAGCCCCAAACTGTCAGAATGCTGGATTCGATACCAAAATTGCCTTCAAACGGCAATGAAGATATTGTTTATCCTAGAAAGTGTGGGCACCCGCTGATCGGAGCTTCACTATTACAATAAGATGCGCGTCGATATGCACTCGATTCTCAGAATCTCCTCTTTCCAGGACAGCCGAAACACTTCAAAAATTCTATTTCACTGGAATTACGAGGCTTTCAATGTGCTGGGAAGTCCCTTCAGAGCTGAGGTGCTCTTTTCAGCCTCTAGCGCTGCCTATATTTGTGAGGGAAGTTGAGGTTTGGGTCCTTTTTTGACCGAACTTTCCAACTTTTCTTCCCATCGTGATCCGTTCAGACAAAGACCACGATGTATTGAATGCGAGACATGCCACCTGCACGTGCCCCCGGAAGCAAAAAAAAACGTGCCCTAAGAGAACCCAGAAAGTCCAACTTGAAGGGCAAGCAGTTGGTGTTACAACCTGAAGTCAACAAAAAGTTCAAAAAATGAGCTGTAATGACAGTTACTGCAGTAACGATCTGAGAATTGACGATGTTGGATGAAGAGTGGCTGATAGCCGGCCAGTGTGTAGAGAGCAGTGTATCCCGAATGGCAGTGGTTGGTCGAATCAGAGGATACGATGATGTCGCGCGAGGTGGGTCGACCGTAGGCGTCCGTCACGGGAGGGCGGAGTCTTTGTTGTAAAGTTGTTGAGAATCACAGCTAAAATAGCCTCGGAGCCCTCCCCGTGGTGTAACTCGGATCCTTCGAGCCGCCGCTATCCCTCTCACTCTCACTTACTGACAGTCATCAGAATGGTGAGTTCTACCAACTCGAAACCCTGTCGATCGATATGTGATAATACAATACTATCATACAGTGTAACATACTACTGCATACTGGAAACTGCTTCTTAACTCATCTACTACCAATTGATTACTTAGCGTTTTTCGGATTTTAAATTCGAATCACGTTACTTATATCGATTGTTGGTTATCGACACATTTAAAAATGAGATTTACAGTCAACATCAGAGTAATCTGCACTGTTGAATCTCGCGCATTTTTCATTTCCAGTCGAAGGCCGCCAAGAAGAAGTCGAGCAAGAAGAGATCCGGATCTGAGGCCGCCCAGTTCGATCAGAAAACCATCAATGAATTCAAAGAGGCCTTCGGTATTATGGATCAGAACAAGGACGGTATCATCGACAAGGTGGACGTTCTGACAAAAATTCAATTTAAATTTTGAAGTTGTAGCTGATCACGTCGCAATTAGTCTGGGCGATGTGAGGAGTGGCGTAATGAGCCCGCCTCCCGCTGTTAGCAATCGGGTAAAGATTGATTCAGGAAGGAAAGCAGCCGTTAAAATGCTGCGGGTGGGCTCATTCCATCATTCTAGGAACCGCCCCAACTGATTGTGACGTTATTAGTTTTAGACGAAGAGTTCTCACTGAACAAGGTGGTGTTCAGAATGACCTCAAGGATCTCTACGCCACTATGGGACAAATTGCCTCTGACAAGCAGATTGACGACATGATCAAGGAGGCACCTGGACCGATCAACTTTACCGTCTTCCTTACCCTGTTTGGAGAGCGATTGACAGGTGAGAGCCGTTTTTCCGCCTCTATTGAGTCAGGAAAGCGGATACACTCCAAGACAATCGTACTTTTCCGCGCTAGGCGTCGCGTGCGACATAACGAATGTATGTCGAGGTTTCTAGGTTCTGAGGTGAGTAACGGTAGGCAATGAAGGCGCAGTTCGGTGACGAGGGGGAAGGGCATTTTGCACTCTTGCTGCTTTCCATTAACGTGTTTTTTCGACGCATTTAAAGGGCTTTTTCGTGAGTTGACAGGTTTCACCATTGTGGCTCGATGAGCTTGCTCCAGCTTCACAGGAGTTCACAGGTTTCATCAGGTAAAGCATGCAAACCGGAACTAGTGAGCAATGGAAGTGCAAATTTGCCCCCCCCCCGCCCACCCCATCGCCGAAATGCGCCGACAAAGAGTAATCAAAGCCATATATTTCTGCGATGTCAAAGTGTAGGTAAAGTCCGATGCTCCAGTTAGTAGGCAGATGCAAATCATGAAAACGCCACGCCCCTTGTCGTGCGCATCGAAGCGGCGAACTACGATTGTCTTGACCGTCTCCCTAGGAAACCTAACCCAAAGGTGCATGTCGAACTCAGGAACTGATCCCGAGGCGACAATTATCGGTGCCTTTGCCATGTTCGATAAGAAGGAGACTGGAAAGCTGAAGGAGGAAGATTTGTTGAAAATTCTTCAAAACAGGCGAGGAGAACCGCTGGATGAGGAAGAAATCAAAGCTATGTACAAGGCGAGCTCTATCTAATTCTCTTCTTTTTCAGTAAATCACACCGTTACAAAACTTACATTTTCCTATTTTTTGGAAAATCCATGAAGAATGTTCTCTTCAGGGTAAGCCACCAATTGAGAATGGCGAAGTCGACTACAAGGCATTCGCTCATCTCATAACAACCGGTGCTCAAGATGAACTCGCCTCTGTCTGAACTACTGTCGCTCATCATCAGTTCCATTCGCTGTGGGAGCGACGCGAGCGGGAGCAATGTGGTGGTGATCTACTGCCATACTGCGCCAACTCGTGCAGTAGGGCGCACTCGCGGTCGCATCGCGCTGTATCGTTTCATTCCGCGCATCTAATCCATAATTTCCTGCCCGCCTTTCAGTGCTTTGGATAGTTGTGTATGGCTAGGGTGGTACGGCGGCCGCGGTATAATCCCGTTTTGGGACAACTCGTCCGATCGCGACCGCCGCCCGCCCCGCCCAGCGCGCGATACGGCTGCAGCGCGCCCACCTCCCACGGCTAGTTCTCCCTCCCCTCACCATTCAATCATCCTCTTCCTACTTTCCTACGTATGTTCGTTCCTTTTTTTATCTTGTTCAAACGTTTGTGCAAGATATGTTTCATATTCGAATTTGTCACTGACACAGATGTATTATAATAAAAGAGATCATGAAATTCAGTGTAATTCGCCGATAAACGGCACTTGTTCGCCGGCCCACGGTTGTAGGTCGCCTGAGGCGAATTTCCAGAAGAAAGCTCCTCCCAAACCGTAGATTGCTGCTGTTGAATAGAAGATGATGTTCCATTCAGTGGCACTCTGAAAATCGATAACAGCATTTTCAGGTGGTTTTTGAGAGAAAAAAAGTTTGAAAGAAAGACGTACACCAGTTGTAACAATATACCCCACGATTAGTGGACAAAGCATTCCAGGCAAAGTAGCCAAAGTGTTCGAAATTCCCATCAGATGACCAGCAAACTGTAAGTTAAGTAATATTGATCGGTGTTCAGTCTGATGTAGTACATGAAAATTGTTACCTGTGGTGCAAGATCCAGATGATTAACGGAAAATCCCGCCCAACAAATACCTCCCAGTCCAATGGATATTGAGAGGTACGCAACAAGAAACGGTGGTGATGACGTCACAGACGCCAATGCGAGAAATATAGCTTGACCAGCAAAACCTAAAAATGCCAGTATAAGGTCTTCCTGTCTCCCAGGAGGGCTTTCAGGGAACATTCCCGGGAAAAAACATCTTTCTATTCGTTCTTTCATTTCTATATCTTAATGGAACCCCTCAGTAGTAGTGTGGTACTGTCAAAATTGGAATATTCTAAATCGTGGGCTCAAGGGAGGGATTTCGTACAGGACACATCATTGGTTGGAGATTTTTATCGAGTCCGTACGACTCCCTCCGTCCTTTTTTTGAAGGGTTGGTACGACCCCCCCCCTTGGTGAACTCCTCATCGAACTGTCGAGCGGAGAGGGTGGGAGAGGGGGGGGGGAGCGAAGGGATCAAATAATACATGTAAAACGGGAAAAACCGGGAAAATAGGCTTCCCCTCACTACTATCTTCTTCTATTTTCCCCAACTCTTACCAGTTTTTCAGGTATTTCCCGAAATTCGTGTCGAGCAGGGAACGTGGGGGGGGGGTGCATATAGTACATGAAACAGGAAAAAGTCAGCAACCTCCTAGGTCAGAAGAGACCCCCCCTACAACATACGACCTCTTTAAAACATCCGTGAAACAAGAAAATCAACTATCAAAATAAACTTTTCTCAACCCAAAACGACCCTCCCCTGTTGGAGAATCCCCAACAACCATGTGCCCTGAATTCGTAATTGTGTACCTTAGGTAGCGGGGTGCAGAAACATGTGCTAGTTGGATTTTTTTCTGGGGTGATTGTTAGAGGATATCGTCGAAGAAGCCCTAAACAAGCCCTTCCATGTTCCAGCTGATTTTAAGCGGGAGGCAAAGATCCTTTGGCATTCATGAGAGACCAGACAAAAGGGCGAAGACACTCAAACGAACAGACACAGACAGTCCAATGGCAGATGCGCTTGCGCTCATATGAGAATCATTGTGTTAACGGCTTGATTACTTTTCAAACTGGAATGCCAAGCTGTCACTTGCGAACCCACTCTGCCTTTTCTTCACACACACACACACACACACACACACACACACACACACACACACACACACACACACACACACACACACACACACACACACACACACACACCACACACACACACACACACACACACACACACACACACACACACACACACACACACACACACACACACACACACACACACACACACACACACACCACACAGCACACAATAAACCCCACTACTGGATTGAATCGTCACGAGAAACAGCAGCCCGTCTCAGCTTAATTAATCCTTAAGCTCTTCTAAAATCCGTAATATCCTTAATAATATAATATTGAGCCAAAATTAAATCAGACATCTCACCTGCGACGCAGAAGCGTCGTCGAACTGTCAATGTGTCGATGCTGCGCTCTTTTCGAAGATAGTCGGCCAGTTGTCCTCCCCAAACCAACGTGCATCCCATCATCAAATACGGTAATCCGGCAACGAAACCAGCCTTGAGTAAATATGATGTAATATACAAATGCAATATTTCCACATCCATTGTTGATATCTTGCAATCAGTCGAGGCGGGCTAGAAGGGGTGGAATGAGTCCGCCTCCGACTCCCTTTTCTACCAATAGTGATCGGTTAGTGATCGATTGGAGGAGAAAATAAAGCAATGCTGAAAAAGCCGCGAGTAGACTCATCCGTGCCTCGGGCCAACGCCCGAGTGATTTACCTGCGATATCAGCTGTACAATGAAGTCCCTTATTGGAAGCGTCCGACAATGAAAAGTTTTCTGCAGGAATTTCCATATCTTTCCTGTCTCCAAAAATAACCCCAAAGCGCAGGGTGAAGTTGTAGATGATGCCCGAATGAGTGCAGGAGTGCAGAATCCAAAGGTTCACATTCTTCGACTAATTTCGTGATTATTTGACCAGGTTTCCAAAACGCGACAGCAAGAATGATGCGTGAGTTCGACTGCTTACACGAAACCACCCTATCGAACATACGGAAGGATTGTCAGCTTGACTGGGATCGACCGAGGGCTCATAAGCGCCAAGCGGCGCCTCTAACCCTTTAGCTATATAACCCCTAACTTATGGATAATGTACGGCATCAGATGGCTGTTAATAATTTGGTCATAGTCACTGAGTTTCCCTGTTTTCTGATGCCTTCAGCTGCATAGCCTAGTAGAACTCCAAGTGTTTCTGTTTATTCAGTGAGTGGGATGTTCTGAGAAGAGTTCGACAGGTGCCTGTGTGCGCACATCTCTAGCATCTCTGGAGGAACTGTCGCCGATCTCGACAGGCTTCAATGAATTCGCCTGCAACCGAGCAGCGCCAGAGCCATTCGTCTCCTCGTCCGTGTACAGAGCGCTTGAGAGAGTGCTGAATGAATGAGGGATGTGGTTGTAGGTGAGAGAATGAGGCAGTTGAAGAGGTTTGCAAATAACGAGAGCCGCCTCGGCTCACTCACTTTGTCCTCATGGTGGAGCGAGCTTTTCGCGATTCTTGCCTCGGCAGCCATGGCAGAAATTCATGCCAGGGATTCAGTACGTAATTCTCACCTCGGCACAGTTCAGGTTACGGAGGGGTCCTTAATCAACCCTCTTGACGTGATGGGCCATTTTGTGGAGACCCGCGAACCTTTGCATGTTCCAGACATTGTGCAAGACCAAACAGTACACATAAGCTTCATTTCTACACCATTTCCTTTTTACTTTCTCTTTTGTTAGACGGCATTAGGAGTAGGAAAGGATGAAGATTGCACTATGAACGAACGGACGAGTATTTTTGAATAATCTTAGAGAAAATCAGCTTCAGAGAGTGGGCGACCCAGTAGCTAAAAACGGGGCCGCGACGTTTTGCAGGCCTACAGGAAATTAAAGAGGTGAGTTCAGAACGTATCCCCTCCCCTCCTAAGCCAAACTGTATCATCACCTGCTCCTAGCTGTGGTGCATCACAACCTTACCAGTTAGCAAGAATTACTTTACAGTCGCTACTGAAGCTAAAATTGAAGCCGGGATTGCTTGGAATTGTCCAGTCTTTTTTTGAACATTCTCCACCCATATAGTCACCGTGGAATGTGTCTACAAACATAAAAAATCAACGTACCTTTTCTAATTCATAGTTCGCCAGTTCTTTGAGCACTCTCGGCAGATGTGTGAGCATCGTGTAGAAGCCCCAATTTTGACAAAAATGTGCAATCATCACTGCCCATACTGGCATGCTTTTCAGCATTTCTTTCCATGGTACTATCTAAAAAAACAAATTTACTGCAGAAAATTTACGTGCCGCAGTCAGTGCACGTCGTGCGTTGAGATCCTCGGCGAGGGTGGGGGTCAAATATAGTAGTTGGAGAGGAAGGAGGACAGTTGTACTCGCCATCTCGTCTTTGAGTGGGAGTTCTTGATCTTTCACTTTTTCTCGGTTTTTTTCCAGTATAATTGCACAATACCCCCTTCACCCCATCCTCGCCGCTCGACGGTCACTTTTTCTGAGAAATGTTTCGGAAAAAAAATCTCCGGAAAGTTGGTAGGAAGCTAGAAAAATCCAGGAAAATGGTATGTAGAACGGTATGGGGAAAGGGACTTCCACCAGAGGCGAATTATAACTCTATTCTGCAAAAATCCGAGTTTTTCTAATTTTTCCACATCGTATTTTGAAGAAAATTTTTCCTAACGGGAGAACATGCCCTGGCTGCAGCAATACTGTAACCAGTTCTACAGAAAAGCACTGTCTTGTGCTCTACCTTTTGAGTGTGCCAGTCAATTTAGGATTGTAATTAAACAAACATAAATAAAAGTTCTATAAATTGGGACAAATCTATCGTGATTTTTCGGCAGCAAAATGTATCAATTAGTTATCAATTAATTATGATGCGATTAATAATTATGCACTTATAGCTGAGGATTTCTGCCTATTATCTCATTTGGACTGAAAATTATTTGGAGAATCAGGGGCCAGTTTCCTACAGCAACCGCTCTCATTAATTGAGAACTCTTATTTGTGTGATCTGAGGGTGATTTTTTTGAGGTATAAAATTTCTAAGGTTTTTAGGGATGAGGAATGCACTCATTCCTAACAAGAAGTTCGAATGAATCGAGAATTTTGTTGTTGTTCTCACCTATGAATATGGCCTTTTTGGATAATCAAAGAAAACCCAGAAGCAAGTCATCAGGGATTCATTAGCTTCGAAATACTGGAAAATAATCAGAAATCCATTCAATTTAGATTCCCAGGAACTGTGTATTTTCAGCTGTTCCTACCCAACGCGTTTATTATTTTTTTTTTCGTAGCACATTCCTGTGTGGGTGACGCCACACGTCAATGAGCCATTCACGCGAAAGCATTTCGCGTTCATACACCTACCACAAGTTTCCTCAGCGTTAGGCGAGGGAGGAGGACGGGAAGCAGTTGCGCCTCGTCGATGTTAGTGTAACATCTTGAAGTCGCCAGCTGAAGTAGGCTGACTGCAACCAGCGCACATCTCTCAGATCGGGGATACAATTCGTGTAATTCGCAATTCCGATCGACTACGTTCAAGTAGTCCTTTCTCATGAGGAAATCGTAGCTTTTCTCCGAATTTCTACACTCATTGTCAGGCGTAACCCCCCCCCCACCCCATTCAAACATAGCGTAGGATGGATTACTCCTGGTATTTCAACTTGAGACAACTGTTAGCCTGCCTTGTCACGACAAAGACATCCCGAAATGAACGTATCTCACCGAAGGATTTGAAGTGTATCTACAGCTGCGGAAAAAAATTGAAACAAACTTTGAAATGGCATTTTCATCTGTTCTAAGCTATCTATTCTCGTCCTTAACACCATTTCTAGGGTCAGGAGCTAACAAGGGAATGGTTTGAACTTCCCATGGAACTTTGAATGGAGACCTAGGTACATCGATAGAGCCTCGAATGCTGATTACGAATATGCAGATTAAAAGTGCTACGGGGACCTCCCAGACGAGATCTGGGTGGTCAAAGTTTGAGTTCTGGCTCGTAAGCGCTGCTGATCGATGCTTCGGCAGTGCCACCGTGGCCTCGTGGTAATGGTCTCGCTTTCAAGTCAAACGCGTGCGGGTTTGCATCCGGTTGGCGCGAAAATTTTTGCTTCGCTCCGTATAAGAGCTTCAACTCTAATTTTCGAAATTCTTCTGAATTTAGCAGGGCAAGTAGATCAAGTACATCAAGTATACGACGTACTCGATCTAGTATGGATTTGGTCATATCTGCCCTCTCTGAACATATTACCCATCCGACAATTCAAAGTTTTAGCGAGAAATTCGTTCATGGATATTTCGTCGGCCCCCTGGAACAACTGAATATCACATCCTTCGACGAAAAACGCTCGAAGGATGTGATATTCGTCTGGCCAAATTGCGATTCTGGCAAAACTTTGAATTGTCGGATGGGTAATATGTTCAGAGAGGGCAGATATGACCAAATCCATACTAGATCGAGTACGTCGTATACTTGATGTACTTGATCTACTTGCTGCGGGCCGTAAATTCGGAGAATTTCGAAAATTAGAGTTGAAGCTCTTATACGGAGCGAAGCAAAAGTTTCGCGCCAACCGGATGCAAACCCGCATGCGTTTGACTTGAAAGCGAGACCATTACCACGAGGCCACGGTGGCACTGCCGAAGCATCGATCAGCAGCGCTTATGAGCCAGAACTCAAACTTTGACCACCCAGATCTCGTCTGGGAGGTCCCCGTAGCACTTTTAATCTGCATATTCGTAATCAGCATTCGAGGCTCTATCGATGTACCTAGGTCTCCATTCAAAGTTCCATGGGAAGTTCAAACCATTTCCTTGTAAGACATGGATGTTAAGACGAGATATTATTAAAATTTTGGTTTGACGCGGTTGTAGTCTAGTGATCAGTAAGTAGAGTGATTAGATTAATATATTCGTCACATTATCTAACAGAAGTGACAGACTTTCATTCCTAGCCTGACTAGGGAGCTGAGAACCGAAATATAGCAAGATAAATATTTTTGAAAATTTTCGGGTTAGTCTCTTTTTCCTCGAACATTTCGAAATCAACTTCGAAGCTTCAGATTGTTGTTGAACATTCAAAACGGTGAATCTTCAGGGTTTGCTCGGCCTGCTATTTTCAGGTGAATCGTAATTACTGGCCCATTTGTTTATAATTAGAAAGTAACATCAGTGAGGCTCAATGACGTGGGTTTGGTTTGGGAAGAGTAATTCTGCTGAAAGGACAAAAAGAAGAGACAAAGACGCCCCATTACTTTTTGAGCGAGAGGTACTTTTGTTGTGAATTGAGAGGAACAATCAACAGGAGACCAAAAAACGTTGATAAGAGCAAAACCGGAAAACGGAAGTCGAAGTTCGTAACATGCCACAGTTGGTTTTATCCCACCCTCATTTACATAGCGAGTTACAAATACTTAGAACAACAGCCTACCGCAGCCATCACAATATTTTATAGTATTGTAGCTGTGGTCCCCAAAATTAAAGCTGGGTCCAGCACCCTATGAAAATTCGGGCCCAGATTTCCGATGAGATCACCAGATCCGACTTAACTTTTACATGAACAATAAATAGCTAAATATTCTAGAAGCAATACTAGGCTCACAGGGTGGAGTCCAATTGAATTCGGATTCTGATCCATTTGTATTTTCCAATTTTTCACGTCCACCAATGGTTCACTTGCAATTTTTGGGGAGAATTTGGCCGTTCGGGCAGCCGGCTTCAATCATAGACAATTTTTTGATGATTGCTCTTGGAGGAAACCTAATTTCGAGGCCGATGGGATAACTGACTGAATAAATTTGGAGCTGGACCCGAAACACTCGAGACATTCGGGAGTTGCGGAAACGCGGCTAATTTTAAAATAGTTGGAAGTTAAATAAATGAAACTCACATAGTGAGTATGACTGATTGCATCTCGTTGCAAAAGAGTAAGCTCTTCAGTAGTAATATGTGGATCAGTAGCCGGAAAATCGCTAACACGTCTAGCCCAGACTAAACACCAGAGAAGACCGAGAAGCCCTGAAAAGGAACATTGCTTGTTAATAAGCTCTTTAGCTTCAGTTAAGTCCCGTTCTTCAATTTCGCTCAGGTTTGCTCTGCAGGTTTAGCTGATTCGTTTAAAAAAGTAATGACAGTTGGCTACTACTCAAACTACTCTCCAGTGGGACAAATATCCTAGAGTGTATTAATTTCTGACAAAATACAGTACGGATTGGGAGACTGTTCTGATCTTAGCTTCTGAGTGGAAATCTCAACCTCCCAACCTGTACTAGAGTCATGAAACGGGTGAGGATGAACTTGAAGGTCCCTGGAGAGGAGGGCGGGGTGAGTCCATTACGATATAAGGAAATCAAAGTTCGAGTTCAAAAATTTACATTGCAAATGACGTTATGGCCCGAGGATATACTTGAAAATAGGAATGATCTAGCGAACTACTTGGACAGAGCAGCAGTGCTTCTTCCTTGCACATTCTGCACGCTTTGACGCGACAAGCTTGAAGACTTATATAACTAACACAGAACGAACCGAAAAAGTAGAATATGAATGGCCATCCGAGTGTCTGACCAATCACAGCCGACAATGGCATTGATATGACGGTGCCAAAATAGGAACCAGAAAAAGCGAACGTTGCCAACTTCGTCTTCTCCAGTATCGGTGCCCAATGACTCCACATCACA